ACACATTCAAATCAGTTAGTAGCGATGATGAGTGTATGTACAGCACATTTCGTGTTGCCGCACTGTGGTGTGGTTGACGACGAGGACGTTGCCGTTAGATACATGATAGCAAGGTCCCACATGGAATTTTTGTTCTCTTGAGACGGTAGCTTTTCAGCATTGCTCTAGGATGATTTTCCTTTACATATATGAATTTTTTAGCTTTTCGTACTCTACACTTAGCTATCCGTAGCCAACCACATAGGCCTAGGTACGTAATATATTAGATCAGATGTTAATTACATAAAATGTAGGCCGACAGTCGGAGTGGATTTCTTTTTTCGCGATTTACCATGGGATGGCAACCAATAATTTAGATAATAAAAATAAGTGTGAGTGATGGCAAGTTGAAGCATTGCCATCACTGCTGTGTACTACCACAATATGTATACTCAGAATGTGAGCATTTCAATCAGTTGTATGAAAGTGCCTGAAGGTTAGAACTGCACATACATCTCTGTGGTCTAATGGATATGAAACTCACCTTCACAGCGAGAGGTTGCTGGTTCAAATCCTGCCAGAGGCACTAGTTTTTATTCAACTGAATTAAGGAACTTTTTCTTGATGAGCTATGCTTAATACGATTATTAGAACTTGTTCCTATTTGAGTGCTATTATTATTTATGCATTAATTTCTCATATATTCAGGAGAAGAAATTTTAAAATTTTAACATATTGCTTCATTTTGACAGGTGCCTCAACTTCGTATGAGGAGGTGCATAATATGATGAAAACGTTTCCACAAGAGATTGCAGCATCAACACCACCAAATGTTATTAAAGAGGATATTCAACGTGTCTTAGAAATCATCCAAGGAATTGAAAAGCAAGGACAAAATGAAGGGTTAGAGGAGACAGTTGATGACTTAACTCTCAGCATCTGGGACTTTGCTGGACAAGATGTTTACTATATTACTCACCAGGTATTATAGCCAGAATTTTAATCACTTTTGTAATTTATTGAGATTGATGAAGTATGCTGTCCCTTTGATGTCAGGGTTGTGTGTCCAATTCCTAGCAGAGACTAACATTTCTTACAACTAAAAAAAAGTGTTAAAGCTTTATACTTTTGAATTTCATTAAGTATTTGTTTGATAAGAAGTTCAACAGTTTGTATGTATTATTTTATTCATTGTGTATTTTGTTCAGATGTTTCTGGTATCTCGTGCTATATACATTCTGTGCTTTGATCTCCGTCACGACCTCCACAAACCTGTTCCTGTGCTAGAAGGCGAAAAGGTAACCTACTAAAGTACTTTAAATCTTAATAAAGTTAGGATTCTTTAAATGTACTGAACATACCAAATTATGGGTATATATGTATATGTATTGTACGTGTTTGTATATTTTATATAAGTGTATGTTCATCAGTTCTAGAACCATAATGCCATAGAGCAAGCTGCCAGAGTACAGATTATGATTGACAACAACCAAATGCAGTGGGCTGGTCTAGCCCAGTGGCGGCGCTAGGGTGGGGGAGGAGGCTAGGCAGGGCTACATCCCACCATTGGCGAGGTCTTGTCGCCCTCCCGGAGTGAAAAATCACAATTCGTCTCTATTACCAGAGAAAAAAAATTCCAAAAAAATTATATGTATATATTATACATATTAATAGACACTGAAATTTATTAAATATGCCTTTGAAACCCATTGTCATTTTCAGAAGGCTACGTCCCCTGGACTACTTTCAAGGGCTTATCGTGAAATTAGTATTGGAAATATTGAGGTGCACATGAAATGCAAGATTAGGTTGTCCTTTAGGTAGTAAGGTAATTTCTTCAAAAAGATTTCAATAATTTCTATGCTCAAGTTTATAATTTGTATTTTATTGTACAGTGAATGAGTGAATTCCAAATTTATTTTTTACGACTTTTGTCATCATCCCCGTCACAAAACGATATTTTGGGGATGGGAGCCTTTCCAAAAATGACATTTAATTTTAATAACCATTTTTTAAAACAATATCACTTCCATATAAACCCAGTTTTACAAAGAGTTTTATTTGCTCGCTTATGTTCTGTTTGCACGCCTCATGTGTCGGCTTCTATGTGAGCTACAGCTCTGTCACACAAGTCTGTTCGGCTGTAATGGCACCACAATGTAAATTCTGCCCCCACTCTGCACGTTGCTTGGTTTTTTTCAAACAAGTGTTCTCCTTTTATGCCTTGCTTACTTGGACTCGAATTCAACCCTGGCCATCAGACGCAAGCTCGGTGGTCTAGAGGTATGATGCCAGGCTAGTGATCTGAGATCGTGGGTTCGAGTCCCACCCGAGAACAACTTGTGATTTTTTTCGCAATTGTTTTCAAATGTACTGAGTATTCAGTACATTTCCACGTCAGGTAGGGCAAAATTACACCTAAGAAATAGCAGTTTTGAAAATATCCAAACTCATATGATTGCAGTTTTCCTGGTAGGTTATTTCATTCATTTTCATTAAAGACAAGCATAGACAAAAGATATGATGGTGCATACACTTATAAATAATTATGAGTTACTGATTTCTCCGTCTTTCATTGAGTTTACTTCATTTAAGTATGTTCATTATTTCATTTATAGGAATCATTATATTAACCGAAAGTACAATTCTACCTATTTAGTCTATTTAGTAAAATTTGCAGAGTATTTAAATATTGTATATTGCAATGCGACCAAACGCAACAACATTCAACGTGTCTTAGAAATCATCCAAGAAAATGTTAAGTTTTTAATTATTTTGAAACACTGACATTAATGTTCAAATAAAGAAATTTCATCTTTTTCGGTTAATTACTAAACAAAAAACATTTGGAAAACTTCTGGCTACCACAATGAAACAACATATTTTTCCGCTAGTCAGCTCTAGGGAAATCCCCATTTCTTGCTAGACGGTCGTGCTACATCAAACTTTAAACATCAATTTAGTTTAAGTTCAATAAAATCTAATAAAATAATACTTATTGAGTATATATATTTAGCTATTTTAAGCTATCATTCTATTATTATGGTGACTAATAACAGTCAGTATTAGGCTAAAAATATTGGTAATTTTAGGCCTAATTCATCAATACTCACAGCCCACTGTGCGAAGCATGCACCATCACGCACCACGTTTATAAACAAAAAACAGAACTGGAGAAATGATACAAAGTTCACACATGCACAGATGACATATGCCTTTGTTCAATTAATTTCCAGTAAAATAATTATTACAACTTTAAGAAAACTCGTGTTTTTATAGCATAAATTAATTTCACAAGCTTTTATTCCGAAATAGCGGTATCATTATTCTTCCCTATAATGGTACAAGCCACCAGGAATCAGACGTTGAACAGCAAGTTTCACCAGCCCACATGTTTTGTTGTGAAATCGTAAATGGAAGTGCGTGACCTCGAGGACCACACTTACGAAAAGTAGTTTGTTTATTGTTGAGCGATACGAAGTGATTTTGAATAGAAACAGCGTGTTTCAAAATTATTTATGAGTGAACGTAATTATGAAAATAATTATTTAAACAACCCAAACCATTGCTTGAATGTCATAGAAAATGTAGTAGGAATCCTAGTACAGCATTGTAGTGAGTATAATTACAAATATTAGGCCTTCAAAACCTAAGCTAATTAATTGGGCTAGAATGGGCCCAAAATAGACAGACGGCGCCTGATTTTCGCTGCGACTCGCGATCTGAGCTCTTTGGGAGTAGGTTAACGACCGGTGTATAGGCCGCACCATAAACTTCGGGCGGAAAATCGCGTATAAAATTTGCGGCTTATACATGGGAATATACGGGTTATTGAGCAAAAACTTGTGTTTTTTCATGATTTTACAAGTGGGCGGGAGAATTTGTATGAGGCTGGGCGGAAGGCCTTAAAAATAGCTTTAGGATGGGCGCAAGACGTCAAGACTGGGCGGCACCGCCCACCTCCGCCCTGCATAACGACATCCCTGCCGCAAGATGGTTACAGTTTATCGCTATATATTACCATAATTTAGGAGTCTGAGCAACAATCAACAATCTTTAGCTTGCTTATTTTATACTTACAGGTCTCATCTTTTGAATGTCGTATGACATACCTGGAGTTCATCATTTTTTGGTTGCAGTCGATCTACTCACATACAACTGAAAACCCAACGGTTCGGGAACAGGAGCAATCATCACCACCAGTGTATATTGTCGGCACTCACAAAGATATGCTACCAGGAAATGAAGAACAGAAAAATGCACTTGTGAGTAGACTACATTTTCAAAATCACTGAAGTGGGAACTTGCATATGATTGAGTTGTGCAGCATTTGTCCATTGCTCTAAAACTTATATGTTGTAGAGCAATGCATAAGAAAAATTTCTTGTTTTAGTTACGATTTTGTAGATTTATTAATGTTCTTTTTTCTTATATTAACCCAGATGTGATAATATGAACCTTTACTGAGCATATATGGCAGAAATGGCACCGTTGGTTAAAATTGTGTGCGTTCTTGTTTCCTGGTTTTATTGAAAGCTGATTTTCCTATAAAATACAAGTTATAGTACACTTTATTCTGGAAGAGATATTTTAGCTTTTAGCCTGTGTACAACATGTGTCATGGTGTACCAACTTAGATAAAACAAGGGGTGATTTTCTCTTTCCTCCAGGGTAACAATAATGACTTATATACACCAAAGCGAAGATATTTTTACAGTCCCTGAAACTTACTTAAGCCGCTCCACTAAGCTAGGCTGTTTTCTTATTGCTGGTAACTTAAATGGTAGGACCGGGCCTTTATTTGGAATCAACAAATGATTTAAATAGATTCGCCGATACCTCTTTTGGTAGCGTTAATGATGAACTGTTATTAAAATGAAACATCCTAAACAACCTGATGTGCATAGAAAAGCAATCCTTGGATTATGTAAAAAGGCAGGTAATAAAATAATCAGTGGTAGAAGACTAGTGACCTCTGTGGGTACCCAAATGTTTTAAATCCAGTTGCACACCAAGCACAATTAATTATATGCTCTGTGATATTAACTTGTTTAAACACATTTCTTTAAAGTATAGAAAGCCCTCAAAAGATTCTTTAAATTTAACGGAACTTTATTTCTTTTGTATCTGGTAACAGAGGTCATAATCTCTGCAAAATTTAAATCTACCCTATTATATTAGAAATGAAAAATGTTAGCTCCAGACCTCCTAATTAGTGAGTTGCGTGCTAACAAATTTGACCTACTCAGTGATACCTTACGCGTTTTATTGACCGTATCTCAGTAAGTATAGTATTGAGTTGGTTTTAGTGTCATTTTAAATAGCTCTATAACTTCAGTAATAAATGCTAACTCCTCAAATCAACCATAAAAATTTATAGATTATGAAGTTTAAAGTTAAATATAAAATATATTAATATATTTTTTCTTCTAAAGCCCTTGTCACACTGTAGCGAATAGAGTGAACGTATGCCGATGTTTATGGAAATTTTGGTTTACGTTCGCGTAGGTTGACATTTGTTTGCGACACGTTTGAAGTACGTTTTATCCGTTAGCTGTTTGTAAGGGTTTGCAGAGGTACGGTGGGTTCAATTTTAAATTTTGGACATGTTCAAAATTTTGAACGTGTTACAATTTTGTGCTTAATACACTATGTATACGGGGAGCACTCGCTGTTTGAACGTTTGGCATGTTGGGTTGACGTTTTCTCTCCGTTCGTTGTTCGTCCAAATACGTCAAACCCATTTGAAACTTTGCTATAGTGGATGTATAACGTATGCATAGTGTTCGTCTAACAAATCGGTAACGAATGACCAACGAATACATAAAGTATACCAAACTATATCAAATTTCACAAGGCGTCCATATAATGTGCTTGACGAACATTTGTTATGTAAACTCAACATTCGTTGGGCGGACGCTAATAATGCGCTGTCATTTATTAATATGGACGCTAGTTGTACAATCAGCATTCATTCCTTATTTGTTGGGTGTTCGTCTTATGCGTAAGGATGTTCGTTTATTGCCAATAATTTGAGTGTTATTGAACATGTCATTTTGAGTAAAGAAATCAGTATGCTAGAAATATACGTTAGCTCTATTCGCTACTATGTGACAGGGCCATTACATCATAATGCATCTAGAGCACCCATCGCCAAACTTATAAGGAAGCTTACACATCATAATATCTCTAACATTATTTAAGAAGGTTCCCTATAAATTTGGTGATGGCTGCTCTAACCTGAGCAATTTTATACTGTATGGCATGCCCTTTCGAAATTGCACATTTTGTATATTAACACAGTACTATACCTGTATAGTAAATCACAACAGAAAATCTGTGAATCTTTGTATTGTTTTTATTTGCATGTTGGTGAAATTTTAAATAAAGTATACCATCAGAATGAATGAATAATTCTGATTATAATTTGCATTGAAACAATACGCAGGCAGTCCATGGTGCTATTTTCTTTTATGCTAGGATTAAAAATCTCTTTTGTTGAATAATTATGTACAATTCCACTGAGTGTTATGACTGTCTCTTATACACATCTAGATGTGTATAAGAGACAGGTGTTCGTCTAACAAATCGGTAATGAATGGCCAACGAATAAACAAAGTATACCGAACTACATCAAATTTCACAAGGCGTCCATATAATTTGCTTGACGATAGTCTACCGATATAACAACATGCGTGCAC